CACTGGTAGTTTTGAACTTCGGACTGTCCAGATTACAGTCAAATGCATAACCATTACGCCGCCAGGGCTCCTTATGTCCTGCACCACAGTCCTAGCCTTTTTCCGCCTCACCAGAGGAGGGCAGATCAATGAGCACACGTACCCACCCGGGAGGTAGGAGCCAGCTAATCCTCGCTTTGCCCCAGGTCAGCCATGTTCAAAGCTTCCTTTCTCATTCCATTAAAAAAAAATGTGCTTGTATGCGCACGCAGGTCTGCTCTTCACTTTTATTTTTATACCTCGAAGCATATTGACGCATGAATTACTTCCTGTGCTCGTGGGATATGCCACGTTTATCTCTGCAGGGTCCCTAAGTCCTCCCCCCTTACTCGCCCCTTTGTAAATTCACTGTGAGCCTCACGGGCGTTTAGAGGAAGACAGGGGGTGGGTGGGGGGGGTTTCCCACATCGTACTGTGCAGGGGAGGTGGTGGGCATATTGGCAGGTCGATGCCATTATAAGCTTGTCTGGCACTTACATTCATGAAGAGGCCATCTTTGATTTGATCTGCTGCTTGTGGACTTCTACCAGAGTGGCTCAATCCTAGTTTCCTTTAGAAGGAAATTCTCGGCTGGCCTTCACCATTATTAAGGGACCCCGTGGGCAAGAGCTCCCCTGCTCACCAGAGGGTCCTGCAGGGTCGCTGGGAGCTAGAATGGACCCCACAGAAACCATGCCATTATTCAAACTTCAAACAAAGTGTTGGTCAGTAGTGGGGTTGTGCCTAGATGCTGTCCAGTCAGTTCCGACTCACAGCGAGCCACCGGATGGACAGCGGGACAAAACACTGCCAGGTCCTGCACCTGCTCACCACTGTCCCATGTTTGAGCCCATTGCTGCAGCCACTATGTCCTCTATCTCCTTGAGGGCCTTCCTCTTCCTCAATGCCCCTCGACCAAGCACCATGTCCTTCTCCGGGTTCCGGACTCTCCCCGTACTGTCTTCCAAGTACGAGAGGCTCGGAAGTCTCCGTCGCAGCCACCCTAGCTTCCAGAGAGCACGCTGCCATGCTTCTTCCGAGACAGACGTGCTGCTTCCGCGGGGCTCCCTGGTACTTTCAATGTCCGTCACCAGCACCGCAGTTCAAATGCACCCACTCTGCTCCCGTCTTCCTTATTCAGTGCCCAGCTTTTCACAAGGTTCAAAACACCACGGCGTGTGCCAGGCACACCTCACTCCTCAAGGGATCACCCTCACTTCCCAACACTCTGAAAGAGGTCCTAAGCAGCAGGTGTCCCTGTGCAATGGTTCCGTGATCCCCGGTGGCCGAGTGATGATGCGTTGGGCAGCTAACCACAGGGTCAGCGGTTAGAATCCACCAGCCACTCTGCGGGAGAAAGGTTAGGCCATCTCCTCCCATAAAAAAGTATAGTCTCAGAAACCCGCAGGGGCAGTTCTACCTTGTCCTGTAGGGTCACTACGAGGAAGGTCAGCATCAGGTGTCTGTTTGGTTTGTGAATGGAGTGAAGGTTTCTGACTCAGAGCATTTCTTTTCCACTTAACGCCTGCATGGTTAGTTTCCCTCATGGACTGC